CTCTGTGTCCCTTCTGTTCTGACAGATGCCCTGTTCCCAGTAAAACCTTGCCACTTTGCTCTCTCACGCCTGAGTTCTTTCTTGCACAAAGACAAGAACCCCAAACTTCTCTCTGGTGACAGGACAGCAACTCCAGCTCTTTTTTGGTTCCTGTTAGCATGGAATATCTTTTTCCATCCTTTTACTTTTAGTCTGTGTATATCTTTGTTGGTGAGGTGTGTTTCTTGCAGGCAGCAAATATATGGGTCTTGTTGTTTTTAATCTATTCAGCCAGCCTGTATCTTTTAATTGGAGAGTTCAGGAAATTTACATTCAAGGTGACTATTGGTAAATAACAATTTGGCCCTGTCACTTTCCAAAAATATTCCTGTTGTTTACTTTGGATTTCCTTTATACCTTTACCAGGATATTTCCTGTCTTCACTTTCTTTCATAGTGATGATCATGCTTCTGTGCTTCTATGTACAGCACATACTTAAGCATCTTTTGTAGTGCTGGAGGGGTGGTGACAAACTCAATTCTGGGTTGACAGTTTTTTTCTCTTAAGACTTGGAGTATATATCTCGTCATTCTCTCCTAGCCTGTAGGGTTTCTGATGAGAAGTCAGTTGTGAGTAATTGGAGATCCTCTGAAAGTAACCTGGTGTTTCTCTCATGCACATTTTAGAATCTTTTCTTTATGTTTTACTGTGAGAGTTTGACTACAATGTGTCATGGTGAGGATATTTTCTGATTGTGTCTATTAGGAGGTCTCTGTGCTCCCTGTACTTGAACATTCCTTTCTTTCTCCAAATTAGGGAAGTTGTCTGTAATTATTTCACTAAAAAGGCCTTCTAATCTATTCTCTCTTTCCATGCCTTCAGGAACTCCTAAGACCTGTATGTTGGGTCATTTGATAGTATCCCATAGATTTCCAACACTGTGGTTTTCTAATTTCTTCTTTTTTCTGGTCTGACTGTAAAATTTCCAGAGATTTGTCTTCTAACTTGGATATCTTTCTTCTGCCTCTCCGAGTCTGTTGTTAAGAGGCTTTCTACCACATTTTTATTTGATTTATTGAATTCTTCATTTCTAATATTTCATTTTGATTTCTCTTTAATATCTCAATTTCACAGGAAAAAGTTTCATTTGTGTGAAGTATGGATTTCTTTAATTTGTGGATTTACTTCTGATTACTTCTAGGTAATCTACAATCAATTTTTAAAATTCTGTTTCTGGCATTTCTTCTATCTCTTCATCTTCACATTCTAATATTGAAGTATTGTTGTGTTCCTTGGAGGGGGGGAACAACATGTTGTCTTCCTTATTCTTTTTGTTGAATTTCTGCATTTATTTTTAGGCATTTGTGGACATTTTGGTTGGTTGGCTGGTTGTTTTCCTCTGACGGCTTTTATCTTTGGTCTATGCCTCTGTGGATTTTGGAGTGTCTGCTCTTTCAGTGAATACCCAGAGGAGTGTACTGGGTGTGGTCAGGGAGCTCTGTTCAGTGCTCCAGGGTGATGGGAGTATCTAAGGTGACACCTAAGTTGTGCATGGTAAATTTTTTTTTTTTATCAAAGCGGAGGTTGGTTCAGCTCTGTTGGCATAGTTTCATGCTCACCTTCTCTCCTGCAAGGAGACCAGTGCCTGGGCACCAGCCCCAGTGGGTGTAGTTTTCATCTGTGCTGCCACAAGAATCACACAAAGGATCCGTGCAGTCCTTGATGAGAGCACGGATGCCGTAGCAATGACCCTCACCAGGGATCAGAGAGCCCCTAGTGTGTGGAGCCGCCCACAGTGAGTGTCCAAAGACCCAGCCACACCCTGAGGCCTCCCATGCAGCCACAGTGTTTTCCCAGTCCCAGCACACACGCCTCCCACAGTCCTGAGCTCTCAGCTCCATCAGCTCGCCACGCTGCCCAGGTGACTCCTCTCAGCTAGTTGCTTGGCGCACGCAGACACAAGCTGGCACAGCTGCCACGTATGTCCAAAATGGTACCTCCCCTTTCTTGGCTAGTTACAGAACACTGTGCTGAGTGGCTGGGGAGAGAGAAATGTGCCCCCCCTCTGCTTTCCCTCTAGGTTTGCAGGTACACTGTCCTCCACAGGGCTCCAAGCCAGACTCACAGCAGGCTCTTCCTGCAGCTTTATCACCAGTGGCTTGGGCTGCTGCAGTCTGGTTCACCTCACTCCAGAGCTGGTGCTGAGGCTCTTGGCTACTGGGGCCCTGAGTTGTGTGTGCCCACACTCTCCATGTAGATCCACAGTGTCCCTATAATTTGTTTGGGATTTCCTCTGCTGTTTTCCTCCCTAACTCTCCCCTGAGACTGCACTCTCTCCACATTTTTAAAACTATCTTCCCCTAGACTAGAGCAGTAAACTCCCTCCCTATTCTGCCATCTTGGAATCGGACCAAACCATTTTCATGGGACTCACATGGCCTGTGGGCCGGATGTTCCCCACCCACGATCTTGAGTTTACAAACAATTAAAATAAACAATGTTTAAAAATGGGTATGGGGGGGCGGCGCTGTGGCGCAGTAGGTTAATCCTCTGCCTGTGGCGCCGGCATCCCATATGGGCGCTGGTTCTAGTCCCAGCTGCTCCTCTTCCAATCCAGCTTTCTGCTATAGCCTGGGAAAGCAGTGGAAGATGGCCCAAGTGCTTGGGCCCCTGCACCCACATGGGAAACCTGGAAGAAGCTCCTGGCTCCTGGCTTTGGATCAGAGCAGCTCTGGCCATTGTGGCCATTTGGGGAGGTGAACCAATGAAAGGAAGACCTTTCTCTCTGTCTCACTCTCCCACTGTCTATAACTCTACCTCTCAAAAAAATAAATAAAATATTTTTTTTTAAAAATGGGTATAGGCTATGAACAGACGTTTCTCCAGAGGAAACAAAGAAATCAGCATTAAGTACACAAAAAATGCTCAAAGTCATTGGCCATCAGGGAACCAGCACACCAAAGCCACAGGAGATGCCCTCTCACTCCCATGAAATGGGAAAACAAGAAAGCCTTGTGCATTGCTGGTGTGAATACAAATGGATCCAGTCCCTCTGGACATGGTCTGCAGGGCTTCAGAGTGTCCACATCACCGCCTGCTCTAGCTTTCAGGTATACAACTAGGAGAGATGGAAACCTGCACACATGTTTGCAGCAGCAGTGCTCCTGGTAACCACAAAGGGGAAACAGCATGCACCAACACGCGAGTGAATAAACGGAGTGTGACTTCACAGAGCAGGCGTTCAGCCATGCAGGTGCATGGTGGCCCATGACACGGTGCTACCCAGGAGAAGCCACACAGTGAAAGATTCCAAGTGCATAAAATGCCCAGAACAGGGGGCTACTTAGGGTGGGCGTGGGGACATGCAAGGTGACAGCCAAAAGGTACAGGTTTGTTTATTTTTTGAGGTGATGAAATGCTCTCGGCTCGACTGTAGTGATGATTGTATGCACTGCACTTTACTGTACACTGCAAATGGATTCTGTGAATAAAATGTAAGGCAGGTATGCAAATTACATCTCAACAGTCATCTAAAAAAGCAAAGCTCAGGGCCAGCGCTGTGGTATAGCAGGTAAAGCCATCATGGTGCTGGCATCCCATATGGGCGCCAGTATGAGTCCTGGCTGCTCTTCTTCCAATCCAGCTCCCTGTTATAGCCTGGAAAAGTAGAAGATAGCTCAAGTGCTTGGGCCCTGCACCCTCATGACCTGGAGGAAGCTCCTGGCTCCTGGCTTCAGATCGGTCCTGCTCCAGCCGCTGTGGCCATTTGGGGAGTGAACCAGCGGATGGAAGACCATCCCCCTCCACCGCCTCTGCCTCTGCCTCTCTGTAACTTTGCCTTTCAAATAAATAAGTAAATCTTAACAAAAAAAGCAAAGGTCCCATTACAAAGGGGAAAGGATGATCTTTGCAAATAAGTGGCACTAGGTCAGCTGCCACCGCTGCCCACTCCTCACGCAACAGAAGCATCAGCCCCACAGAGACAGCAGATCTTAACGCCAAAGGCAAAAACAAAACTCCTGAAGAAAACATCCCTGACCTTGAATAGACTTCTTACACAACATACAAAGAATAAAAAACATAAGTTAGATTACATTAAAGCCAAGAATTTATATTTAAAGCACACCATTGAAAGAGTAGAAAGCACCAGGCACAGGGAGAGAGTGCAATCCATCAGCTGACAAAGGCCCCAAAGAATCCTGCTTCTCAGCCAGAGACAGAAACCCGCCCAGGAGAACCGGCAAAGACTCAGGCATTTCCCAAGGAAGCAAAACAAAACAAAGCCAAGTCACTGAGTGAAGGAGCCAGCAGAAGGGGCTCAGTCTCACAGTCACCACACCGGTGCAAGCGAGATGCACACCAAGTCTCTCAGACCCTCCCGAGGCTGAGAGGCAGCATGCGGAGCAGGTGAGCACGTGGAACAGCGGGAGGTCTCCGTGCCAGACAGTCACTCTGCACATGCACTGGACAGTAGCCACATGGACAGCAGACATGACCACACCTGACAGCCCCATGCTGGTCTGTCACACAGTGGGAGGATCAGCTCCGGGACACCACCAAGATGGCTGCACAGCCAGAGGCGATTGCCCACGTTGCCTGCACTGCCTCTGCTGCCCCTACTCCCCTCGCAGGCACCTCTCCTGCTGCTTTGAGGGTAGCGCCAGGCCCAGGAAGGACCGAGGGCTTGCCTGGACAGGTGGCCTAGAGACCATACCGCCCAGCCTGCATCTCTAGGGTTGGAGAATCATGGCTCCATAGCAACTGAGAGCTCCCTGCCTGTGTGGGGCACGAAGAGGGCAACCTCGGGATGTGGCCGGCCCTGACCCTGCTGAGCAGCAAGTGCTGGGAGCCTCTGGGTGGCCCCAGGGGCACGCTCTCCTCTGCTGGGACCTGCAGGCCTCACACAGGGTGCTTGCTGCTCTGCAGTGGTGCCTCCAAGCCCTGGAACCACCCCTACATGGCTCTGGGAAACTGCAGGCACTCTGCATCGATGGAGAGGCCACCACCCTGCCTCAGTTTACCTGCAGTCACGCTCCAGCTCCTTGGATTCGTCCGTGCAGTAGAAGAACTTCCCTTTGAAGAGCTGCACGGCAATGACGGCAAAGATGAACATGAAGAGCATGTAGACGATCAGGATGTTGAGGACGTTTTTCAGTGAGTTCACCACACAGTCAAACACGGCCTGCAGGAGGATGGTGGAGCGTGAGGGGGTAGGGCGGGAAGCAGCACAGAGTGGACCAGGAGAGAGCCCAGGGAGCCTCAGGCCTGTGCACAGGTGTCCAGCATCCCACCTTGCTGCTGCCCATCTGCGGGAAGCGGTGGGGCAGACAGAGGACAAAGCAGCAATGCTGTGGCCGTGAGGCCCCAAGGTGACTGTTGTCTCTCACCAGCACCCCTGGGTTTCTCTCAGATCCTCCCACATCTGGATGTTCAGCACCCCAACATGCCCAGTGCCACTTCAGAGCTGAGGAGGCGACACTGTGGGTGCTGCTTGGCACACTCCAGATGCCAGCAGCTGCAAACGAAGCTACTGCCCACACACACTGAGCTCCCTGGACCCAGAGGGCCAGTGGATACCTTCTCAGGTCTCCTCCTGGCCCACCCCTCCACACAGGTTCTACTTTGCTAACATCTTGGATTTCCAAGCTATTAGTAAGAGAACTTACTGTGTAAGTCTGAGGGTTACACAAGTTCTGGCATAGGAAGTGCCTGGCACCAGCTCAGTGATCATGGGCGTTCAGGACAACGCTCAGCCTCTTCTAGCTTCTCTGCACACCCTCTGCCCTGGGAAGCCCCTCCTCCCTACGCTGCAGGGGTGTGTGCACGCTCACAAGTGTGCACCCACATGCACAGCACACCCTCAGGCTCCAACCTTGAGCTTGGGCAGCCGCTTGATGGTCTTGAGTGGCCGCAGCACACGCAGGACTCTCAGGGATTTGATGGTGCTGATGTCTTTCCCTTTGGATCCTCTAGAAGGGAGAAGCCACAGATGTAGAAGGCAGGGGGTGTGGGTGTGCCCTGCCTACCCCAGCAGCCCACCAGAGCCGGGCCCCAGCCCCAGGAGCAGGGAGGCCACGGTACCTCTCCCCGTGGGCAGCCTGTGCTGGGCCTCCTCTGAGGACAGCCAGATCAGGAGGGTTGAGCCTCCAGAAGGGAGGTAACAACAGCCGCTGAGCAGCACCCAGTGTGCCCCCAACACCCCCCGCCCGACCAGCTTCTAGGGGTCAAGAGGCCAGAGAGGCCCAGGAACAGAGGTCTGCGGGGCCCCTTGGTAGGACAGGTGCTTCCCTGTTCGTCACTAAGTAGAGGGAGAAAAGGGCCTGAGCAGCTCTGCCCTGGGAGAGGAGAGACAGATGCAGAAGAAGAGGGCTGAGAGGCAGCCTGAGAAAGACAGCATCAGACAAGAGGCCGTGCCAGAGGCCCAGGTGCACAGAGACGGACACACCTGGGGGCAGGCAGAAAGGGAGGAATGGGGAGGAGAGAGCCACACACAGACAGGAGCAGAGAGGACGCAAGTCCACCAGGAAAGCAGCAGACAAGGTACAAAGGGAGAACCATCAGACGGGAGGCCAGGAGAAAACTTGGGATGGGGGCATCAGAGCCCCTCACAGAGGCCACCAGCACAGCCCAGGTCAGCAGCGTCCTGGCAAGGCCTCCTGTCCTGCAGGCCTGGTTTTCAGAAGCAGGGTGGGGGTAGGGGAGCCCTACCCACTCAGCTCAGAGGCCACTTCAGCCAGGGTCCCTGGGGAGCTGCTGCCCATAGGGCCTGGGCCTCCCCCTACCTGCCTGCTATACCATCCTTGGGCTCCAGCAAGGCTCTGGGCTGAGCAGGGAGTGTGAGCAGCAGCCCTGGCCTCTTTATGGGAGAAGGACGGCACAGGCTCCCCAGCCCACATTCTGGAATCCTAGCCAACCACCCCTGAATTAGCCAAACTCGGCTAATTCCTGGGTCCCAGCACAGCCCTGGCACACACTCCCCAGCCAGCTTTCCCATCAGCAGCAGCAGGATATTGCAGAGCTAGCTGGGCGGGCAGAGGCAGCAGGGTCTGGGGTCTGTGCCAGCTCAGGGTCTGTTCCTCTTCCGCCCTGAGGCTGCCCAGCTGCTGGCACCCCTTCCCTCCTCCCAGCCAGGCCGTTTCTGACTCTGAAGGCTCCTGTTTCCCTTATCACAGGAAGAGGGCCCATAAGACAGCCAGGGGAACCTCGGTGTGGCAGGAGCCAGTGTGGACAGCCAAGAGGAAAGATGTGTTCTGGGGACAAGTCCCTTGGGACGTCCAGCATTCTGGACCACGGCACGCAGGAAGTGCCCACCCACATCGAGCACGGCCCTCCAGGCTGATGTCCTGGCCCTGGAGCAGGCGTCCTGGGGACACCCTGCCTTCTGAGCAACTCCTCACCCAAGGGGACCTTGCCCAGCCCCAGCCCCCAGAGGCATGGCAGGAACATGTGGCCTGACATGGCTCTGTCAGCATGCAGCCCAGATGAGTGGAGGTGGATGAGCAAGGGCGAGGCTGGGGATGAAACAGCCCTGGAGGGCCATAGGTGTGTCATGAGGTCAGGCAGTATGGGGTGGGATGGGCGGGTGCGGGGAGGCATTACCCCATGAAGCTCCTACCGAGAGTCCAGCAACAGGGAGACAAAGAGAACAAAGTCAGTGGTGCTGGCAGGACAGAGAGGAGGCCTCTGTCTTGGTGCAGCCCTCCCCGTGGGATCAGAGAAGAGACCCTTCCCTCAGGGTCTGGCCTCCACGCCCGGGGGTGGGGGGGTTCTTCCTTATCTCTGAACCTTAGCTCACACAACACTGAATCTGCCTACCCTCAG